TACGCTGCTAACTTCACCCTGTTCCAGCCTGACCTGTGTGAAACCAAAGCTGCACCAGGCTAGGGGAATGTGGTGGTGGTGGAGGCAGGGGCTGGGAAGAGGCGCATGTGGAGACCGCCTCAGAGCTCCGTGAGACAGAGCACACACGTGAGCAGACAAGATGCTCTTCTGCAAAGCACATGACCGGGTGTAATCCTGTAGGCGCTGCATCTGACACCCAAAGCCGAATGCGTCACAGATAAGGCCTGCACAACAGTTTTAGATCTGTGAGTTTTCTGTTGGGTCCCTGAAAGCCCCTATCCAGCCTGTGCCAAGAAATGCCAGGTTTCCTTATGTCCCTCTGCCAAATGCGTCAGGGGTGGAGATGTAGTCATACGGTGAAAAAAGAGGCCGGCCTCCATAGCAACCTATGTGTCCCCCCCGTAACCTGGAAGCCTGAAGAAGCAGGGTATCCTGGTTCGCTGAACTTTCTCCTGGATTTAGTATCTATCAGAAATCTTCTTGTTGGGACTTTAAAACTGGAAATCCTTCTGAAATGTTGAGTTTCTTGTTTCAGCGAGAACAGCTGAACAATGGCTCTGATCCCGTTTTGGTGACGCAGGACTTTGCACAGCCTGAGATGTGGTTCTCAGGTCTATTTATGCTGCCCCTGCTAAAGGCAACACAGACCAATGCCCTTGAAGGTAATTAATCTATCTCTTTTGACTATAATTTAAAGCTTATGTACAAGACCTTATGGATTTGATTTGATTAATCAAGGTCTTTCTGAGGGAAAGAAAACAACAAAGACTTAAATGATGGTTGGTAGGCAGATGGAATGTTCTCGGGAAAGTGAAAATGCTTGGAATGAGTGCTTTAAGAACCATCTGGTCTGCCTGTAAATGGATACCAGGATGGGAAGGTAATTAAGCCCAATGGGGAAATAAAGGTGTTTGCTTGTGACATTGCAGCCTAAATGGTTCCTGGGGTCAATGATCAGAGACTGTCTCCCCAGCAACAAGACTAGTGCCTGGCACACAGCAGGTACTCAATACAAATTTGTTGAATGAATGGAGGCCTGTCCACGTGATCTATTTTATACAGAGTTACCCTGGTCACCATTTTTTTGTTTGTCATCCATCTATCGTCGATCCCTCTCCCCATCCGGTATTTATGTGCTTACCCTGTGTGAGTGCTAAACCGTGGCTACAGGGGAATAAATGGTAAACACGACATAGCCTCTTATGAAGAGTCAGTCACCTCTGTGTTCCAATGGACTTTTTAAAGGCGGGGGAATAGCTGATACCGGTTTGGCTCAGTGGTAGTGTGTCGGTCTGCGGACTGAAAGGTCCCGGGTTCGATTCCGGTCAAGGGCATGTACATTGGTTGAGGGCACATCCCCGGTAGGGGGTGTGCAAGAGGCAGCTGGTCGATGTTTCTCTCTCATCAACAATTCTAGCTATCTCTCTCCCTTCCTCTCTGTAAAATATCAATAAAATATATATTTTTAAAAAGGCAGGGGAATAAGCAGTAGGTGTGACAGAATGGCATGAACACACGCTGCATTCTCATAGGCCTTTTAAATACCAGTCTCTTCGCCTTTGGCAAATCCTGCTTACTGCTCCCATTGAAGACTCCAAGTTCATGTGCTTCCGAAAGCAAATTTCCATCTTCCTGTCCGGATGTGGTGGTGGTAAGAATTGTTCACTGCTTGGGCTAGCTTCATGTGTGTCTATCTGAAACAGCACCCGCTTGTTTCTTTGGTAATGAACCCAACTAAAGCTTCTTCCAACGCTTTCCATTCCTCCTCACCTCACTTCAGGATGCTCCAAGAGGGCTAAGGTGAAGGTCGTGGGCCACTTCAAAGCTATGTGGTAAGAACTGGATTGTAAGAACTTTCAGCATGGTGCCCCGAGGCAAATTCTGGGCACTTGTTACAACGGTCACATCGGGAAAAGCAAGCCATCCTCCACCTCCAATTTTCTTCTGCTGGTTTTGAGAATAAGAAACAATTTTCCTCTCTGGCATAATTTCAAAGAGAAGAATATAAATATCCTGGCCAGTGTGACTCAGTAGTTGAGGGTAAACTCATGAGCCAGGAGGTTGCTGTTCAATTCCTGGTCAGGGCACATGCCTGGGTTACAGGCTTAAACCTCAGTGGGGGATGTGAGGAAGCAGCCAATCTATGATCCTCTCACATCTTTGATGTTTCTATCACTCTCTCTTCCTCTCTGAACTCAATAAAAACATGTATTATAAAACTTATAAAAGAATATAAGTAAAGGGCCCAACAAAGAATCTTGGAAATTGCTCCTCCTCAAAGAACAACAGGACCACTTATTCCAGAATACAGAGATGGGTCTGTAGTCTAGAGCAGTGGTCGGCAAACTCATTAGTCAGCAGAGCCAAATATCAACAGTGCAACAATTGAAATTCCTTTTGAGAGCCACATTTTTAAACTTAAACTTCTTCTAATGCCACTTCTTCAAAATAGACTCGCCCAGGCCGTGGTATTTTGTGGAAGAGCCATACTCAAGGGGCCAAAGAGCTGCGGTTTGCTGACCACAGTTCTAGACTGGTGCTTCCCAAAGTGTGGTACACGTACCCCCAGGGGTACGGGAAGAGTTTGGTGCGGAGATGCACTGCACCGTGCTTAGCTGCGCCTAATTCTACGTTCTCCTGAGTACGAGGGGTACTCAGCGTCACGAAAATTATAGAAGGGGTACACATATGTCAAAAGTTTGGGAAACACTGTTCTAGAGAATCATCTGAAATTTGGAAGAACCATTCTTTACTATTTCCAGGTTTGGTTTCTGTGTTTGCTTTAATTCTACTTAGCTATATGGTATTATTTGTTTTTGTTTGTTTTTAAGAATCCCAAAGTTCTTTCCTTTACACAGTGCTTTTCTCTACGTGCAAAACTTTGGTGATATCCAGACCTGGGCCTTTGCATCCCATGTGACACTATGTTCTGCAACGTGCTTTCCAAGACCATTCCTCTCTGCACTAAGTCACAACACTATAATACATTCTCTGGGAATAGTATGGTCACATGATTCTCTCTCCCTTTATAGTGACTGTACCTACAATTCTGCAGTCATACCACTGAGAGCACCACTTTGATTCTGACTCCTCCTCGCAGTGTTTGTGTGAAACCAAGGCACAGAGACGTGATCTACCCAGTCACTCAGTAAGTCAGAAAACAAACTGAATACAGGGCCAGGTAAGATCCCCTATGTATCTTCCAGTGCCTTATCCAAAACACCAGATTGATCTTCTCATATGATTACAACCACTTTGGAAGTAAGTAGTTTTAGGTAGAACCTCCTGTTAAGTTTTCAAAAGCCCTCTTGCAAATCAGGAACCACAAGGTAATTACCAGTATCACACCAACATTTTAGTTAAATGCCCCCGACTCACAGATAATGCCAATAATTACAGCTCACTGACATCCTGGTCATTGACAAGAAGAAAATTTGAGGGAAAAATCCACCCACTCAAGAAATAAACCTTGGCATATCTCCTTTCCTGGTTTCATAACATCTTAAGTATAACACTTAAGCACAGCTGCCTTCTGCACACTACTCCTGTACCTGTTGGCACGTGATTAGCATTGGGGGAAATGACAAATTGTGTGTGAGTGTGTGTGTGTATGTATGTGAATACCAGACATTTTAAGGACAATTCTGCTCAGCAGAATATACGTGATATATGCCTACCCTGATTTTTTTTTTTTGGTAATTTTTATTTCCTGATTCTGGTTTAATGTAAAAAGTAATCGTTCCTGATGAAGGCAGAGTCATTATATGGGGGTACTGCTGGGGGCTGATTTTGGCTTCATGGAAGGGAAACTCTCTAGGGGTTTGAGTTGTCTGAAGACAACCGAACAGGACTTTTTGGACCAGGGAGCAGCATGGTCATACAAGTATTTCCCCCCTAATGACCGTCTGTGTGGGGGGCACTGCTTCTTCCTTCCAACACTAGGCATCCATTTTCCCAGAAACAGACCAAGCCAACAGCAGCCCTCCTGCCTCCCAACTCCAGGTCAAAAAAGGCACAAAGAAGACCAACAAATAATACTGAGGTGGTGCTTTGGATCTGGGAAGCCTTGAGGTACCAGGAGAAGAATACTGGCTGGTGGGAAAGGTGAGGCACAGAGAAACTAATCAAACTCTTTCAGTCATAGGTGAGACGGGATTTAAAGGAGGAGGAGAGACCGGTTTGGCTCAGTGGATAGAACGTTGGTCTGCAGACTGAGGGGTCCCAGGTTCAATTCCAGTCAAGGCCATGTACCTTGGTTGCGGGCACGTCCCCAGTAGGAGGTGTGCAGGAGGCAGCTGACCAATGTCTCTCTCTCATCGATGTTTCTAACTCTCTATCCCTCTTTTCCTCTCTGTAAAAAAATCAATAAAATATATTTAAAAAATAAAAAAAATAAAGGTAGAAGAGGAAAAGATACACTGCTAACCCCAGTGAGCACAACTCTCAAAAGCCAAGAGGCAATTCCAGCTCTCAGCCACCACATGCCCTTAGAGTCATTGCGGTGATTCCTTCACAGAGGGAATCCTACAGTCTGAACTCCTCAGGGCCAACCCTTGGGGCTGGAGATTTAGGCAGGACTGGCCTGGGCAGGCACATAAGGCAGCTCTGCTTCTTAAGGCATGGCTGCTGTCTGAGAAGTGAGCTCCACACCAAGAAGTGGGCATCAGACCCTCCTCCCCTGAAACTACCCTGCAAGAACCCTTAATCCTGTGGAACCCCGCTGCCTGAGGAACCCGCCTCCCCCAGGCACTGGGGGCTTCCGCTAAAGCTAAACAGCGTTGCCAAGTCACCTGATTTGTGTGTGTGTCACTTGGGAGAATGAGAGAGAGGGGAGCAAAAGACAAATTGATTATTATTTGTAGATGATTGTCTAACTAGAAAATTTAGGGGGACAAAAAATCTATCAGGACAAAGACCAGAATTTGCTCTTAGTGGCAAATTCAAAGTCAAGCATACAAAAATCAATAGTTTTTTTTTTGAGTCACTTGGGTGTGGCCTAACACCTTCCAGTTGTTGTGCTTTTCTGTGGGCCTCTGAGCTTTGTGAAACTTGCCATATTTTAAAAGATGGAGGAGCCAGGGAGATGCCCCCTCAGCTGCAGTAAGGGCAGTGGCCTCAGACATCAATGTACAAGAGGTGCCTGGGATGACTGCTGCGTCGAGGAGCAATCATCCCTGCGCTCTCTCCCAGGGACCCTCCCCCCCAGTCCCGACCCAGCCCCTGTCTCCCAGCTCTTTTCTATTCCAACCAAAAAGACACACAAGATGATAGCTTGGCAAAAGCTGGTGCGGGAGCCACTACAAGTGGATACGGCCAAAGATTGTGCTTTTGTCATTTCCATACGAAGTCAGTTTTTAAAAACAAAGGCTGCGAAATGACAGGTCTGGAGTGTTAGTCCTCTTATTGCCTTATTGGTCGGGAAGTTCGAGAGGTGTATGTGCTGCGACCCAACGGAGGACTCCCCAGGTTTGGTCCAAGTGGGCCAAGGGATGCCCCGCGGGGCTGAGCGTGGCCGTCTGGCTCTCGCCGGGGTGCCGGTCATTTGCGGTCCAGGCTGGCGGTCAGCTGGGCCTCGCGCACCATGCGGTCGAAGGAGCGCGTGTTGGTCTCCTCGCGCACCTTCTCGCGCACGTGGAAGGAGGCCCGGGCCGTGGAGCGCGCGCTCTCCAGCGCGCTCCGCCGCTCCCGCGACAGCTGCTCGCTGCGCTCCAGCTTGCGCCCGATGGCTTGGAGCAGCTCCTGCCGGCGGCAGTCTTCATCCCTCTCCACCTTCTCCTTTTTGGCACGCTGCGCTCGCTCCTTCTCCAGACGGCTCTGCCCCACGCGCCGCGCCTTCTGCTGCACCGCCTCCTCCGCCACTTGCGTCGCGTGCTGCAGCCGCCGCTCGCCGGCCCGGGCCAGCGCCTCCAGATGCGCCTGGTGCTCGCGGTCTTTGCGCTCCGCCGCCTCCTTGGCCCGCCGACCCTGCAGCTCCTCCCTCCGGGCCCGCTCCCGCAACTCCCGGGCGCGCTGCTCCACCAAGTGCTCGTAGTTCTCCTGCGCGCGCCCCAAGCTGGCCTCCAGGGAGCTCCGCAGGCCCTCGCGCTCCTCGTGCTCCTGGCGGGCCCGGCCCTGGAGCAGCGCCTGGTGGCGCGCCCGCTCGGCCCTGCTCAGTTTCCGCTTCTCCCGCTGCACCTGGCCCTCCTGCCGCTGCTTGGTACCAGCCGCGCGCTGAGCGCGCTCCCTGCGGACTTGCTCGGCCCGCTCGCGCCCTTCCTGCAGGCCCTCCTCCCGCTGCTTCAGGTTCTGCTCCTGCTGCAGCTTGCGCAGCCGGTCCTCGCGGGCCGCGCGCTCCGCCCGCTCCCGCCGCAGCAGGCTCTGCCGCTCGGCCAGCTCCCGGCGCCGCTCCTCGCTGAGCTCGCACTGCTGCTGCCGTAGCCGGGCCGCCTCGCGCTCCTCGCGGCCCCGGCGGCCGCGCCGCTCCTCCACCTGCGCGGCCCAGGCCCGGCGGCCCTTCTCCAGGGCGCGCTGCTTCTCGCGCTCCTCGCGCTCCCGGCGCCGCTCGGCGCACGCGCGCTGCCGCTCCCATTGGCCGTGGGCCGCGGCGCGCTGCTCCAGCAGCAGGCGCTCCTCCTGGTGCCGCGCCAGCATCAGCGCCGCGATCTTGCGGTCGCGCTCGGGGACCCCGCGCAGGCCCCGCTCGGCGCGCACTTGGCGCACGATGCGCTCCACGTGCTTGGCGGTCTGCGGCGAGTGGCTCAGGTCGCCGAGGCTGAAGCTGCGCGCCGTGAGTGGCGCCAAGGCCAGGGCCGAGGGGCGGCCCAGAGGGTGGGGGGCCGAGGACAAGGAGCCCGCGGGGCAGCTGTTCCGGGCGGACGCCCGCGGGGGCCAGCGCATGTCCCGCAGGCTCTCCCCGCTGTAGGAGGAGGACGACGCGCCCGACTCAGAACTGAGGGCGCCCTCCCGCTGCCGGCGGGACAGGGAGTCCAGGGAGTGGCTTTTCCTACCGGCCCGGGAGCCCGCGGTCGCGGGCGCAGGTTGGGGCCGAGCCGGGGACGGACTGGAGGAGGCCTTGCGGGCCGCACGCGGCGCGGGCGAGGCCGGGAGGCTGGCGCTGCTGCAGCCGCTGCCACTGCCGCTGCTGCCGCCCGCGCTGGAGGCCGGGATCGGGGCCGCGGCGGCCGCGTGGCCCAAGGGCGTGAAGAGGCGCCGCTTCTCCTCGCGCACAATGCGCTCGCGCTCGGCCCGGCATTGCTGCAGCTTGGCGCGCCGCTCCGCCTCGTAAGCCTCGTACAGGCCGGTGGCCACGCGCATGGAGCGGCCTGGGGCCTCGCGCACCAGGTCGGCCAGGGCCCGCGGCAGCAGCTCCACCGGTTTGACGGCGCAGCGGGCGCAGGCCTCGAGCGAGCGGGGGCTGGTCAGCACGTAGCGGCTGCCCTCGGCCTCGGGACAGTCGAAGTTGAAGAGGTCGAGGTGCAGCAGCGGGGACTGCTCCCGCCGCCCGCCTTCTGCTGCGCATGGGACCTCAGCCTTGCGGGGCGCCGCTGCCGCCGCCGCCGCCGCCGCCACCGAGGCCGAGGCGGAGGCCGAAGAGGCCGCGGGCTGCTCGGCCCCCTGGGCGCCGGGGGGCACGGACGCGGCGGCTCCGGCTCCTCCGGAGCCTCCAGCCTCGGCTCCCGCCTTCTCCTCTGCAGGTATGGGGTCCACCATAGCGGAAACGTGTCCTTTTGTGGGGTCTCTGCGAATGACATGGAGGGATATTGTGGGGTACATTTGAGAGCAGGCCCCCCCCCCCCATTCATATCCATCCCATCCCACCTTAAGCCGCTTTGGTATTAGGTCTAGAGGCCCCATGGAACGTAAATCATAATTAGGAAGCCCTGAAAACCCAGACAGCCGGGGGGAGGGGAATACTGATGCACAGAGAGCAGCCTCAATCTCCCGGAGTGCGGGTAGAGGCGGTGGCCAAGCTCCCCAGGGCGTCTGGCCCGTTAGATGCTTTTTCTTCCTGTTGCAAGTTAAGATGGGGGAAAAAAAAAAAAAAATGGAGGTGCAGGCAGGAGCCGGGCAGGGAGGCCGCTGGAGGATTCCCGGGAGGATTAGCCTATTTGTTTGTAGCTTAGGCGGGCAGCCGGGGATGCAGCTTTTCAAGAACAAAAAAAAGGAAGAGGCCTGTCCATCCCCCACAGTGCACTGCTGCGAAGACCCCATCTGCCTAGGGGAGAAGTTATGGTTGATTTCTCGCTGCCAAAGGAGAGCCAGGCATGGGGTCCAGAGGTGATGGAGGGGCTGAGAGAAATGCCTCCATCTCAGAAGGCCGCTCCGGGAGGGGAGATGGATCTCTCTCCTGCCTCCTGGTTAGGTTTGCTAGGAGCTGTGCCCCCCTGCATCCCCCCACTGCCACCCCCGTGTTTGCCGGGGATGAAGAAGGTCCTCCCAGTTGCACCTGATCCCCTCCAAGTCTGATGTGCTAAAGGTATCCTCCACCCCCCCAGTCTAGGCTCAGACACCTGCCCCCAGATGCCCTCCGAGTCCCCCCACTCCCCCCCCCCCCACCAATCACACACACACCGTATCCCAGCGAGGTGGATTTAAGGGGGTCTCGTAGCCCCTCCGCCGCTCCCGTCCCTGAGCCGGTCCACTCACCGCACGTCCCGGGATCCGGCCCCGCGCGGAGGGCTTTTGTTCGCAGCTCCCCGCGCCGCTCAGTCCCCGCGCCCGCGGGGTCGGATTACTGCCGGCTGCAGCCTCAATGGGAGCCCCCGCTGCCGCCGCAGCCGCCACCAGCGTCTCTCCATGGGGCCCGCACACCGCCTACTCGCGGAAGGGGGAGAGTGACAAGGCTTCCCTAAAATAACGCAGCTCCTCTCCCTTTCCTCTCACCGATTCTCAGAAAGAGAATTGGTTCCATCGCTGCCGCATCCACCGCCGCCTCTCCAGCCATGAAAGTACCGCAGGTTTTGATACGCCTAGCGCCTCCTGGTGGACACTCGAGAGTGTTGGTTGGTTTGATTAGGGGGAAGAAGAGGAATTCAAACGCGAACACACCTTTTTTCCCCCCCCCACACATTTATATATTATATACTAATTCCGATACTTTAACTGGGGAATGGTTTGGTGTATTTCTCATGGGGATTATTAAGAAGCGAAATTGATAGTGAATAATGGGAGGGAGATATGGCTCCTGATCCAAACTGTGATGATATTTTTTTAAGAAAAACTAAGGACATTCCGATAGGTTTGAGGCAGACATAAGATGTGACCAGTGTTTAATGCAACATCTTAGGACTTCCTGACTCAAGATAACACAAATCAGTGAGTATTAGTACCATTTAGTGAGTGTTGTTTTGAGACACCTTCTCCCTCCACCCCTATTTTGAGTGATAGTGGCCACAGGAGTCAGAAGGAGTCTTAGAGGGGGAGGGGTCTGGAGGTTGAGTAGCATATAACAGCAGGGTGAGCCATGTTGCTAATAACCTTCGAATTGTCAGGCTGCGAGGAGCAAGTGAAAGGCTTAAAGCAGGGAAATGATTTGAATGGATTTACATATTAGGGATATAACGCTGACAACAGTGCAGTGAGTGCTTTAAGTGGACGGAAAGGAGGCAGGAAGCCCAGTAAGCTGGACATTGCAGTCACGCCCAAAGCAGCAATGATTGGGACCTGAAGGGGAACAACAGTGTAGGAGCAGCGCGGTGAGAGTAAGGGGTACAGCTCCCTAAAATAGAGAGTAAAGCAATACTCAACGACGGCTGGGCTCTGGGGTGTGAGGAGCAGCGAGGGGTCAGGGCTGACAAACAGGAGCAATGAGGTGTCTGGTAGTATCACAGTCTGAGAGCGTGGAAGCAGGAGGGAGGATGTGGCGGTTGGCACGGAGGGCCATGGACAGATGGGTCCCTTTTGGACCACTGGAGGTGGAGGTGTTGCTGCTCAGCAGGTGGCTGGATCAGTGGTGTCAGAGGCCTGGACTGGACCTAGAGTTTCAGGCATCATCACTGTGCTTGAGGTTCCTAAAACCAGCAGTGTGAGTCAGAGCACCAGGCAGGGCTGTGGAGCCATAGGGAGGCGGGCAGGTCACTGATGGGGCTGCTCAGGGACCAGGAGGCCATACAAGGGACCCATGAGGGCAGACAGGAAAGCATGGCCTGGTGGAAGCTCATGGCAGAGCACTTCAGAAGGAGGGTGTGGCCCAGGGCTAAGGCTGCAGAGGTCCAGGAGATGTTGCCTGGAATCATATATCCACCAAAACTGGTGGTCAGAGTGTCTTTGGTGACATCAGTATTGTGCTGGGGGCTCATGCCAAACCGCAGGAAGCTGAAGTGCCACGAGAGATGAGAAAGCGAGTTTTTGTTCCTTGACGTTTGTGTGAGAGTTTTAAAGACCGAAGGGTGTGAGATTGTGTACTACTTGCATGTGAACGGGGTCATAGATGCTGGCAGTAGACATGAGAGTCTTGGATCAGAAACAAGGAACTTGGTGATGTGTGGTACAGCAAGCGGCATAAGGGTAATGTTTCTGTTGGTTCACCTTGCTCTCCAAGTCCCATGGAGCAATGAAGAGGTGGGCTCAGATAGATACTGCACGTAAGGTGTGGGTGGTGTGTCGTAGCTGAAAGAGCCTAAGCTTAGTAAACACTAATCTTTTCAAGGGGGTTTAGCCCTAGCTGGTTTGGCTCAATGGATAGACTGTTAGCCTGAGGACTGAAGGGTCCCAGGCTTGATTCTGGCCTGGGTTGCGGGCTCCATCTCCAGTAGGGGGTGTGCAGGAGGCAGCCAATCAATGATTCTCTCATTGATGTTTCTATCTCTTTATCTCCCTTCCTCTCTAAAATCAATAAAATATATTTTTAAAAAATAAAAGCAAGGCAGACAACCCTGTGGCTATAAGAAATAAATGGACATTAGGGAACTATCACTTCCTTAAAATAAATAAGTAAATAAATAGATAGATAGATAGATAGGTTTTAAAGCATACCTGTTCAACCTTTTCTTAAGAGGGAGGCTTGCCAAAACCGGTTTGGCTCAGTGGTAGAGCGTCAGTCTGCGGACTGAAAGATCCCGGGTTCGATTCCGGTCAAGGGCATGTACCTTGGTTGCGGGCACATCCCTGGTAGTGGGTATGCAAGAGGCAGCTGGTCGCTGTTTCTCTCTCATCGACATTTCTAGCTCTCTATTTCTCTCCCTTCCTCTCTGTAAAAAATCAATGAAAATATATATATTTTTAAATCAATTATTAAGAAAAAGAAAAAAGAGGGAGGCTTAAGAGTTATACACACTAGTTGTTCAAATGCCAGCTCAGCCAGGCTATGTGTTTTGAGGCAAGTTTCTTAGATCCTCTGAGCCTCAAATTCCTCAAAAGAGGAATGAATAATATAGATAGAGATATACTCCTAAAAATAACAATTAAGAACCCTCTTAGATCCTTTAATATAATAGCTCTCAGTCAGTTTGGGCTGCTGTAACGAAGTATCATGCACTGACTGGCTTACTAGTAGATAACAATTTCTCATAGTTCCAGAGATCGGGAAGTCTAAGATCAGGGGGTGGGCAGATCTGATGCCTGGTGAGGACTCACTCTCTGGTTCGAGGATGGCCATTTTCTTGTTTTATCCTCACATGGAGGAAACCAGAGAGAGCTAGTTCTCGCCTGTCTTTCTTGGACAGGACACAAATACATCGTGAGGGCTCCATCCTCATGACCTAGTCACATTCCAAAGGCCCCATCTCCAAATACCACTGCATTGAGGTTCAGGGTTCCAACATATATATTGGGGGGAGGGGGGAGACAAACATTCAGTCCTTAGCACTCACTTATTTTAGGCAAAAAAACCCCCACCTTATATAGTGTAGGCATTACTGTCATTTAAATTTCTTTTGATCAGCCCCCACCACCCACCTCAGTTCTGTGCACTTGTCTTCCATTCTCCTTCCTCTCTCTCTCTCTCTCTCTCTCTCTCTCTCTCTCTCTCTCTCTCTATATATATATATATATATATATATATATATATATATACATACGTATATATATTTGTTTGTTTTACAGAGAGGAAGGGAGAGGGATAGAGAGTTAGAAACATCGATCAGCTGCTTCCTGCACACCCCCTACTGGGGATGTGCCTGCAACCAAGGTACATGCCCTTGACCAGAATCGAACCCAAGACTCCTCAGTCCCCAGGCCAACGCTCTATCCACTGAGCCAAACCAGTTAGGGCCCATTCCCCTCTTAATATAATTCCAGTCACAGAATAGAGATGATTCACTCCGAAGTTCTAAATCAGAAGTTGGTAAACTATAGGCCGCATCCACTGGCTGTTTGTAAATCAAATTTTATTGGAACATAGTCATGCTTATTTATTTACATATTATTTATACTGCTTTTCATGAAGAAAAAAATAGTTTTGACAAAGATTGTATGACTCCCAAAGCTTATAATATTTACTATCAGGTTCTTTACAGAAAAATATTACCAATACCTGTTCTAATTACTGAGAACTGCTTGTGGCCGTTCTCTATTTTCTTACACCTCCACATTCACTCTTTACCTGCTCTGGGATAAAGGATTGTAGGCGATTTCTACTTGAAAATGAGCACGATGCTAAGGTTGGCCAGTAGAGGGAGCTGAAGGGATGTTGCAGGAGGAAGGTCCTTCTCTTCTGGTTCCTGTGTGCTGTGCTTTTTGCTTTTTCTTGCTCCTGCTGCATGATGAAAGGTGCAAGTGTGTGGGCACGTCCTGTAGCTCCTACCCCAGCTGCGTGCCTAGAGCAGTCTCTTGGTAACCTTGCAGCCCAGACCCAAGCCTAATGAGCACCTTCCTCTCTGAGCCTTCTTGAGGCAGATACCACATGCTCTAAGCCCGTGGTTGGCAAATACCACCTTCTTGAGGCAGATACCACAAGCGGCTCTTTGGCCCCTTGAGTGTGGCTCTTCTACAAAATACCACGGCCTGGGCAAGTCTATTTTGAAGAAGTGGCATTAGAAGAAGTTTAAGTTTAAAAATTTTGGCTCTCAAAAGAAATTTCAATCGTTGTACTGTTGATATTTGGCTCTATTGACTAATGAGTTTGCTCTAAACCTTGTGCGGTGTCTCCCTCTCACCAGCCTCATCCCAGCCTGGAAGATTGTTTTCTGCTTGCCTGGCAACTATGGAACAGCTATGCCCCAGACAAAATTCTGTGCTTCCCCTGTGCGCTGCAATCACACCTTCTCCAATGAGTTCTGAACCTTTGTGAGGGGCTCCCCTTTCAAGTCAGCAAGTTTGATGCTCTAACCATTAAGCAAACCAGCCAGGGCTCTTTATATATATATTTATTTTTGCCATTATTATATATTTTCTAGTGATTTCAGGTTTGGAAAGCATAGAGAGATTACCGTAGACTAGTTTTTAAATATTTTGTAATTTCAGAGAAGGAGAGAGAAATTAAAACATCAATGATGAGAATCATTGATTGGCTACCTCCTGCACACCTGCTACTGGGGATCTAGCCTGCAACCCACAACCAGGTATGTGCCCCAACTGGGAATGGAACCATGACCTCCGGGTTCATAGTTTGATGCTCAAACACTGAGCCACACCCACTGGGTGAGAGTTCTCTTTTTAGCTTTATATTAAGCAATGAACTCTCGGTTCATAGCTTAATGCTTCTTTGCATTAAGCTTCCTATTCTTAAATTACTGTGTTGTTTCTGTCTCCTGATTAGACTCAGAATAATACGTGGCGTAGAGTATAACCATTCCCAGTTCTTGTTATTAACACCTTCAGAAGGGACTTAGGACACAAATCAGCAGATAAAGGTAATATTTGTTAAAAAATAAAGGGTTTTAGCTCAGTTGGCATGGCTCAGTGGTTGAACATTGACCTGTGAGCCAGGAGGTCACGGTTCAATTCCCGATACGTGGCCGGGTTGCTTGCTTGATCCCCGGAGTGGGATGTGCAGGAGGCAGCCGGTCAATAATTCTC